TTTAACTTAAAAATTCTCCTACCATCGACAGATAACTCGTAGCTATTTATCCAAGTTATGAGATAACTTTTTCTATTCTCAACGAGTACAGTTGTAATTTCATTTTTAGTCGCTACATTCATAAAAACTACATTTTCCAAATCGTCAATTGGAATATCATTTTTATCTACAAGAAAAACCCTCGCGACATCTTCATTTAACACTTCAATCTTTACTCGGATCTTCTCATGATAAGTATCAAAGTCTTTTGTTTCTCCTTTCCTATATAAAATTTTTTTTTCAGACATCGTGACTGCTAAGAAAAACAAAACTATTAATTAATACATGAAGTTGTAACTATATTTCTGACTCAAAAATTTATTCATAATGCGTACCTTAAAAAAATTCGATAAGATAAGAAATGAAGCCTCACAAATCCGATTTATTTATATTGTTAATTTGCTTAACCTGGAACCTGCTAGAAAAGAGATTAGCATAATGAGATGATAATAAAATGCTTTTCACCTGCAATTAACGGAATCTCTGCCCCATAAAGTAGTTCTATTAAAATCACAAGCGCAAAGAGAAAATTATATTTCACCTTTTATGGGAAATTAAACCTTTCATTCTGCCGATCGCTTTTGTAGAATGAAAAATAAGTCAAATTTTGGCGATCTTCGGAGATTGTAAAGATCTCAAGTTCCATAACGTATGAAATTTGATATTATTACTGATAAGAACAATAAACCTTCCATTCTTTTATCCTTTTCAAGTTTCATTAGCATTTCTTCTTATCGGAGAAACCATACACAATAAGAAAAGGCTTTATTATTAATATTATATGTAACGATAGAAAATAATTTTTAGCGGTATTACAAAAAAAAATCATTGTGAGACGAATAGATATTATTATATGTTCTGGATAAAAATCGCTATTTTTCATATATCGAATATTAATATGTTTACGTTTGTGTTTTCATGTGCAATCGAGCTAATTTGGCTATTATTAGAAGTTCATAGAACGTGTAAGAGGTCAGTTGATATATTTGTGCGATCATATGCAGG